GCGCAGTATAAATGCTATTTATTATTATTTATTATTATTATGCTTCCCAGAAAGATTATAATGCTTTGGGATGTTCTGTTGTCTGCTGATGTATTAATTTAGTGTAAAGCAGAGATATGCGCTATCCAAATGCTATTATTATTATTATTATTATTATTATTATTATTATTATTATTATTATTATTATTATTATTATTATTATTATTATTATTATTATTATTATTATTATTATTATTATTATTATTATTATTATTATTATTATTACCATCATTATTATTATTTCAATTGTTATTTATTCTATTAGTATTAGTAGTAATAGATGATTATTATCATTATGATTATTATTGTTATTATTATTATTATTATTATTATTATTATTATTATTATTATTATTATTATTATTATTATTATTATTATTGGGTGGTTAATCGGGTGCTCTGGTGTGGTTTGCTTCTTCTTTCCTATCGAACATCTATATTCCTTATCTCCCCTTCTTTTTTCTATTTGTTCCTCTCTTGTAACACCTCTAATCTTCTGGCGCTCATATGAGCTTTTGCAGTAGCGAACGCCGTTCAACCTCTACTTAAACAATAACTATTATTACTATTATTATTATTCTCCAGTGGTAGTAGTAGTAGTAGTAGTAGTAGTAGTAGTAGTAGTAGTAGTAGTAGTAGTAGTAGTAGTAGTAGTAGTAGTAGTAGTAGTAGTAGTAGTTATAGTAGTAGTAGTAGTAGTAGTAGTAGTAGTAGTAGTAGTAGTAGTAGTAGTAGTAGTAGTAGTAGTAGTAGTAGTAGTAGTAGTAGTAGTAGTAGTAGTAGTAGTAGTAGTAGTAGTAGTAGTAGCAGTAGCAGTAATACTAGCAGTAGTAGTAGTAGTGTTTGTAGTAGTAGTAGTAGTAGTAGTAGTAGTAGTAGTAGTAGTAGTAGTAGTAGTAGTAGTAGTAGTAGTAGTTGTTGTTGTAGTAGTAGTAGTAGTAGTAGTAGTAGTAGTAGTAGTAGTAGTAGTAGTAGTAGTAGTAGTAGTAGTAGTAGTAGTAGTAGTAGTAGCATCATTATTCGTATTTTTATCTTTATACACAACTCACTGTTTTGTTCTTACTTTCAGATGTGCAAAGACTACCTGTACGACAACTACTGCGTGGGTTTCTGCCCGGCCAAATCATACCCGAAAAACCAGAACTGTGTGAAATACGAATAGCTTCTGCTGCTGTACATCATTAAATAGCTTGTCTCCGAAAACTGTGTGTACATTATTGACTGGGAGCTGAGAAAGCTGTCGCTTCACGTCGCTTAAGAAGAGAAGGAAAATAAGCAACCTTCAGAATGAGTTGTGTCCTTTAGACAACTGCAACCAAGGGCTGAAGTAACACAGCGCAAAGATTCTCAGTCTTCAAGATGTTTGTAGTGTAGTGCGTAATGAGAATACCTAGGTGATTCACAAAAGGTTTTTATTTGTAACAATCAGTGTAATAATTATGCAGAGACGGTGGTGACTACAAGGAAGGAATAGCACAAACAAGTAATTTCTCCAAATTCTCCAAATCATTTTACAAGGAAGAATTCCTTTTCTGTTCTGGGGGCGTGGTGATCCACGAAATCCAGGAGTGAAATAAGGGCAAACCGATGCTGAACACTAGAGCTAGATCTAAATGTGACAAACGGCGCCATTCGGAGAATGGCCGATGATAAAGTGCACAAACCACATTGGTCACCACACGAGAATATATTTATACAAACACGGGCAAGATGAGAAAAAGAGAAAAAATTGTTGTAAAGCTTTCTTCACTTCTCGTTGATGGAGTTTTGAAGGAAAAAAAAGACGTCTTTATGTTTGGATTTTGACAGTGGTGGTGTTTTATGTTGTTTTTTCTGGGGCGCGCGGGGTGGGGGGGGGGGGGGGGGGAGGGGAGGAGGGTTTGGGCTGTTTTTTCACTGTCCGTCCGACACAGCTACGCTCATTCAATGCGGGCGTGTGTAAGAGGATCTCTGGACTCTTGAGAATCACTTTTACACTTTTACTGCCTGGGCTGTTTAACAACCTAACAAAGAGGCCATAACACCCTAACACAGTGAAGGGGTTAAACAATCTTCTCAACTTCAGAATGATGAAGCAGAGAAAGAGGGAGGATGTACAATGGACTCGCTGATCCATTTGATGACGAATATTTTTTTGTATCTTTGCATCTATAAGTGTGCATTATGCACGATTGTATTTAAATAGTTTTCCTTTGCAACGTCTTGTTAGGTGTTACAAAAAGGTTTTATATAAATTGTAATTCTCAATTGTCGCGTTTTTGTGCAATGTTCTTTTCTGCTGCTTTATGTTGTACTCTGGAGATTATACATTATACATTATACATTATACATTATACATTATACATTATACATTATACATTATTTATACATACATTTTTGATGATCGAACATAAAGGAAGAATGTTTTATTTCTTTAAGAATTGTCTTGGGCGACGGCCAAATTATAACAATACCTCACACAATACTATATTTTTGCTTTCTGTGAATATATTTATATTATGAAAACGTGTAAAATGGATTACTGTCTAAGGTTAAATATAAGCCTAATCATAGGTTGCAAAATGGACCATAGATTTATGTTTTAGAGATGAACTTTTATCGATGTTCAATTTGTTTACTTAAATTATCATTTTTTGGTGTTTTTCTCCTCCCCCCCTCCCCCCTTTCCTATCCATAAGACATGAAAACCTTCCTATGAAACATAGGCTTTCTGGTCTTTTTAGAATTACAGTGTATCAGAAAAGATTAGCGTTGACGAAGCCGCTCAGTCGAGCTACTTCTCAGCTTTCTCAAAAGGCTTGATACGACATAATTGTCCAACTAGAGAGAACAGAGCATTTGGTAACAATACTAACAGTGGCATTTATAATATAGCTCATAGCCATGCTCTACAGCAAGCTCTATGCACTTTGCAACCATCACTGCCTTAGCAAACCCTTCAACAAGACTCGGAGACGTTCTCGGTTTCCCAGAAAGTATACAGAGCAAGCAGCTGATTAATACGGGGTGCCCATTGCGGATGGGAACTGATCGGGTCGGATCGGGTCGGTCGCGTTTGTTTTTTTGAGGCGACGAGTCGGGCGCGATCGGCTTGTGCCACGATAGCCGCTTTGCGCCCTCATTCTGGCTGCAAACCGACCCGATCCAACACGATACCCTTTTTGGCACCCCCTATAAGCGCTAAAATCATGTACGAACTGACAGGATCTTCCGCGGTCTATAGACGTGAGCCCATTCCTACCTGGGTCAGGAAAAGGAACATTCTGATAAAGTACCTTTTCCAAGGACACAACGTCAAGTCACTTTCGGTTACGAGCCCAAAAGTTTAACTACTAGACCAAAGAAGCTGCAAAGATAAATCTTGCTCACCCTTCGGTGAAAAACTGGAACTTCGCAAGGGTTTTAATTTCAGCCTTTTTCAAGTTAGGCAGGCGACGGCCATCTGCATAAAGAGAGGAGAGGAATAAAAGACATCAGGAACAATGACAGATAAGTAGCCTAAATTTGCACTTCGCTAGGCAAATAATTCGTCTGTAAAGAAACAAATAAAAGGATTGGCGGTTTTTTTGTGGGTTTTTTTTGTTCGTCTGTTTTCACTTGTTCTGTTTCCTTTTTTAGTGTGTGTGCTTATATTTGATACATTTATGTTTCTTGATTCTGCTAATTTTTGAAAAATTAGGACAAAGTGGTCATGGAGATCTTTTGACTACCTAAAATATCTAGGCGTTTCCATGCACATTGGAACACTATGAAAGGCTTTGAATCGAGTTTTACATTCAAAACAGAAATACAATTCATAACTGACAATTTTGCAATTTTGACTCCAGCGTTTTTAACCTGTTATTCGTAATTACTATTACTATAAATAACGCATCCTTATAAAGTTTTTACCATCCGTCTTAGTGCCCGAAATGTGAGATGTTTTACAAATACAAATGATATCAGCGCTACTTGGCAGCTCCAGTATACCGCGGTGCTGTCTCAGTCCCGCCCACTTTTGAGACGTTTGAGTTCGACATTTTCAACCAGAATAAAATAACTAACAAGGTTTTTACCTCAGACAGTAAAGGAATAGTGGCTCGCCAACGTTTACATTATATGTTGTAAAGTGAGTACGGAGTTGTGGGGGCGAGGGAGGGGGGGAACCTTAACTCCAAACCCTAGCCTAACACTTTCAAGTTAGAACCTTGTTATTCTGGGGTCGTGACAGCTTATCTCCAGATCCAAACTGACCTAAACATTATCATATCAACTTACATAAAGATGGGTAGGCCTGCCTACTTGGTCTTTCTGCCTGCTGTTTGTCAGTCTTTTTATTTTTATTATTTTTTTTTTTTGGTTACTGTTTTACGGCGCTCGCAACTGCATAATGTCATATGAGCGCGCGGGACACACCTAATATTTTCAGTTGGTAGGAAATTTTGCATTTTGCCCAAGTGGCGGCCGAAGCTTACTCTTATCGATTTTAGACCACCAAGGGATATTTAACGTGCGCAACTTGCACACGGGTCCTCCGAGATTTTTCGCCCTTGTCTGAGAAGGCTAGGTGTAGATCTTTCCTATCAGAAGATAAGGGGTGTGGTTGAAAGACAGCAGTAAGAAGGAGCCAAGAAGTAGCAGTAGAAAGGCTGCATAAAGAGTCAGGAGCCAGCGGAGGGGGCGAAGGAGGTGAGAGGATGGAGGCAGAAAGAGGAGACGAAAGCAGACGACAGAACATTGCTAGAGAGCAGAACAGGAGTTGAAAGGAGACAATTTTAGAGAAGAAAATGTTTTGGTCGCTACCCGGATTCGAACCCATGAACTTTAAATGAGAGGCCAACATCTTAACCTCTAGGCAACGAGAGCCCCTGTTTTGTCACTATTAATGTAAATCTTACCCCTAACAAAAGAAAGGTATCTCAATTTCAACATAAAGTCATGAAATCTAACAATTAGGCTTGGAAAAGAAATCCAGCTGTTTTTAACTCATTAGGCGTAACAATCCATTTTTTACGCATATTCAGCTCTGAACTCGATGACCCTCTTTTTTCAACAGGCGAGCACATCTGAATTGAGTTGGACAAATTCTGCCAGTTGTGCTCTACGTACATTACATCACGATGCAACAATCGTAAAAAAAAAAGGTAGGAGTTGAGGGGCGCGAGCGGTGGGGGGGGGGTTGGGGGGGGGTGGGGGCGGTAAGCACAGGAAAGGTTGAAATTTCAGGAGTAAGGGATAAGAATAAAAGCTTATCACATTGGAGCAATCAGTGAAAAATCTGCTTAAGGGAAGAAAAACACATTCAGGCTGTAAAAAAACTTACTGTTCATCTTTCCTATAGGCCGACAGTGTTGAAAAGCTACCCCCGAGAAAAGGGACGCAATCAAAGGTAAGGCCCCAAACTGCACCAGAACTGGCTTATAAAATTAATTTCGGGCAAATAAAAGTTGGATACGCACAACACAGTCTTCGCTAGCTTTGACAAGGCATGCTATTTCGAGAGCCACATGGAGAGAAGCGAAACCTGGTCCATAATACTTAACAACAAATACACGGGCAGGAGGTGTCACCAACAACTGTTTCATCCATAACTGTAATTCTGCCTATCACATTGAAATATGTTCACTTTCTCAGTTCCCATAAACCACTTCAGAGCTCTTGGACAAAGGTTGATTGGTTTCCTAAAACTGTGTTCAATAATAGAGTCAGGGAGTAAGATGTCTCCTTCTGTGATCCCCTTAAACGAATTTGTATAGATTTAACTGTCCTAAAAAAAACTGTAAGGTTATTTAAGAGACGGATCCTCAGAATTCAACGTCCATCTCCGATAGGACGAACCAGTATGGGAAAACTCGCGTGAAATGTCTCTCCCAAGGACATAGCGCTGGACCGAGCTCAGTCTGAAGTCTTGAACCCACAATCTCACGAGGGCGGTAGCCTAACCATTAGACTACCATGAGATGGGGGCGTCCGCCATCCTAAAATGGATATGTTTGCTTTTCTTGAGGAGCAAAGGAGGATACGATTTTCAGTACTTCATCTTCTTGTTCTTGTTCTTCTTTGCAGAACACTTGAAGACTCTATCTATCTACAATATTACCGGAACGTCCTGCTTAGTTCCGCCTGTATAGTTTGTCCTAAAGTGTTTCTGAGGTTGGCCGAAAGAGGTTTTTTGTTTTTTTTAGGTAAAAGTTTTACGGCACTTGCAACACAATAAGGTCATATAACTGCCGAAGATTAGAGGTGTTACAAGAGAGTAAAAAACACAAAAAAGAAGAAGGGGAGATAAAGACGATAGATTTTTGATAGGAAAAAAGAAGCAAACCCCACCTGAGCACCCGCCAACCACCCACCCGAAAGGGGACCATGCTGTACGTCTGATGTGTTCCACAGTTTGGTCTGCTACTCTAAACCGATAAGTCGGGTCTTCAGTAATTTCTATATTTTTGCCTCAGAGCTTGGGAGTCCAGGCCTGTCTTCAGGGCGTGTGGTATATCTCATTGAAGAGTAAAGCGAGCAGAATAAGAGAGAGAGAGAGAGAGAGAGAGAGAGAGAGAGAGAGAGAGAGAGAGAGAGAAAGAGAGAGACTGCCACTTCAATCTTGGTTGTATCAGTATCCGACACATCCCAACAAAATAAAGGAGCTTACACATGTTTCTTTAGTATTAGTAAGCGTTTTACGGCACTTGCAACACAATAAGGTCATAAGTACGGAAGAATAGATGTGTCACAAGAGAGTAACATACGCAAAACAGAAGCCGAAGAGATAAGGACGATAGATGTTTGATAAGAAA